ATTTTCACACTAAAATTTTGATGCAACTTTTTGATTTGTCTATAGTTTTTGGGATAATTTTTGACCAAATTGGAATAATTTGTTATTGGTTAAATTTGATTTTAATAGTCTAAAGATGGTATGATCATGTTCTTTTCTAATAAAAAAAACTTATTAAAAATAAAGAACTGAATAGTTTAATATATATAGGACAATTATTAATTATTCGGTGTTTGGATTCTAATGAATTACGTAAAATGAAAGTAGACTTATCACGTTGATGTATTGCTTTGTTAAAATTAATTTGTGTTTGTTGTTCATTTTGATTGGGGAGGGGGGGGGGTTTAATTATTGTCCTTGAGTCAAACCCGGTGTCAAATCAGGCAAATAATCCAATGTTGCTTTTAATGTTTATTTTGCTGGTAGACCACCGCAATCACATTATAGTTAATTTATTTCACTACATGGCATTCAATGTTTCCAGCAGTCTGTTATGTGTAGGTCAAAGGTTATTTCTTTGTTTAACTGAGAATGAATGTAATAGTAATATTTGATTTGATAACATTTCTATCAGCTGTTAATATTTGGGTAATTAATATTTGGGTAACAAAAACTAAAAAGTACCGTAAAATCTGTATTAAAAGCCACATCCTTAATAGAAGCCGCACCCATTCTTTTTGAACAATTGAGACTCAAAAATTCACCATTTCTCTCACCATTTCTTTGTGTTTTAAAGCACCTGTTTAAAAAACTTCCAGTGCTTTTGTATGTTTATATGTATTGAATACACTTCAGCATTCTTTAAAGGAAATATTGCTGCAATTAAACTCAAAACGCAAACAGAAATTTTTTGAAGCAATGAATTTAAAACGCGGTGGTCGTGCTGCACGTGTTCGAATTTCATGTAAATAAACAATGTATTTTACATGTGTTGTATACGTCGCTATGAGTCCCATATCGAACAGGACGCGACACGACTGCCGCCCTTTAACATATGTTGTATACGTAACATGGGACCCACGTCGATTTGTCACAGAACGACAACTAAAGCTCCTCCAAAGTCTCATTCTTTGGTTTTACTTCTCATTCTAGGGAAATTAGGAAATGGTGCTTTATTTTGTTTTGTATTAAGATTATTCAATAACGCAGATATGTTTAACACTTTTAATAAAACTTTTGGATACATGCATTGCAGTTTGATTAGGATCAACACATGTCCTCTGAAACAGAAAAACAAACATTTCCCTGTTCTACCACATGTGGCGCACTTCATTAGTATGCAAAATTGCAGAAAAAAAGTTGAGACGTAATTTTTAAAATGACATGCATGATAGCAAAAAGCAAAATGTTTTTCTTTTTGTCTGGCAAATTTAATCAGGATGCAAGTTGATAGAATTTCAATATGGATCCGGTACAACTATGTCTGACTTTTGCTATTGTTGCTAGCAAGCAAGATTTGTAATTGCTTAGTATGTTAACTTACATCCTGGGAGGCATTGTTGACCTAAACGACCTTTACAAAACAAACAATAAATCTCTTCTTATTTCTTTTCGGTCAACGGTGTTTGATTGATTCAGTATAGGTTCATAATTCAACACATTGTGTTTTGTGTTAGATTTAAGGTTTTCTTGGACTACTGTAAAATGACTAATTTTCACTGGGTTTAAATTTCGCTGATTTACCATTTCAGGCATATTCAGTGGGTTTTAAATTCACGGTTTTGTCATTTAGATAATGTGTTCTATGCCCAATTTTACATATTCAGTGGGTTTTAATTTAGCGCATTTTCCACTCAGCGAAATAAGCTAAATTAAAACCCAGTGAATAATTAACCCCTTTACAGTATATAATCTTGTTTTGGGTCTTTGCATCGTCAAAACACATTACATAAACTATTGTAATATAGCTGTAACAGTTGTAATATCAGTGACTTCTGGATTATTGATTGGTGCTTTTGATTTGAGTTTTTGGCATTTTTTTTTTAAATTTGGAAAGACTGCTTTATGCACACAGTGTGCACATCAGGTTTCAGGCCTCAACACGCACAGGCTGAAAGACAACCTGCAGAATGAACCTAAGTAGTAAACCTTGAATTTCATGAAAGACGAAATGACTTCAGTGAAATTTAACATTTTACAGAAGTCTGTGGGAGTCTGAAAGTTGTGACATCATAGTCAGGTTATTAAAACTCCATGGTTACAGTAGTCATGTGGTGTTCTTGCATCAGTGTGCCTTCTTAAGCCCATATGATATGCCACTGATGCACAGATTTGCTATGACATAACTCGTTATGTTAATTCAATGAAAAAAAAAAATCATTCATCATATATTGATCTTGCAAACATATTTTTCTGTAATAAAATAAAATGAAAATCAAATCCTATGAACAAAATATCAAATTTTTACTAAATTGTACGCCTAAAGTCATCTGTGCAGTTAGATGCAATTTTTTTTTTTTTTTCAAAATCTCTCTGCCCAGCAGTCAATATGCTGACTTGATTTCTTTTTTAAAATTCAGGATCCCTAGAAAATCTGTTCTGGTAAAGGGCATTCTGTCTCGCACACTGCAGGGGGTTAATAATACTGTTACAACACCATGATGGCTGATTATACAGCGTCTGTTGTTTTGTCTTCCAAAATAGGAAGTATGGGTATGATGCATCATGGGAGTAAAATGGCTGTCTCGTATATCTATCATATCTTCATTAAAAAAAATCAACTAAATTTATCAATTATTTAATCTACCCATCTATGCATGCATGAAATAAAAATAAAACGAAACTTCAACTAATCAACTCAACATTTCCCGGAAAACCATATGTAAATTCTACATCATACTGAAAAATACTTTATTTTAGCTGGAATTAATTTTCACTAAAAAAACATTTTTGGTGCTTTGTATGGAATTTATTTTCACTGATTTTTGACAAATTGAATTGTAAAACAGAGGAAAAAGGGTATATTCGCTGGATTTTATTTTCACTGAATAATTCCTTCAGTGAAAATAGTGAGAATTAATTTCAAGTTAAAATAAAGTATTCTACAATATAAAAAAAATGGATATCTGCATAAAATATTTTATTGCTTTGAAGTTCAGAAAAAGAGGAGTCTATGAGCCAGTAAATTGTATACTATCACGTTTATTTGATTGAGCTTCGTCACTTTGATAGTCATTTTCGCTCAAGCCTCAGGAATTCAGGGTGTTGAAATATAGATTAATGAATATGGAATATAACAATTCTTATCAGGTTTGTCCTATAGACCAAATAGTGATTTGATTAAGCCTTGCAGTATAGTATATATCTACTGTACATTTAAGTAAATCATGCACACTGTCCAGCAATTGACCCCATTTAAATAATCAAAAGTGTAGAAGTAGGTGTGAATGTACATCTGAATTGACTATTAAAAGCTTGCAGTCTGATACATGTTAAATTATACCCATTTAATTCTACTTCTAAATTTATAAATATACACTATATTCAATAAATCATGAGTAAATCACAAGGGATCCCATTTTCGAAATGTCAAGAAAATTAATTTTTTTTTTTACTGCTAGACTAAATAACGTCCTGTTTATATTTTCTGACTCGTGTATTTTTCAACATTTCCAAGAAATTGATGTTTTTGAATGTTTTCATTTTTTAAACATGTTTCTATGTTGTGTAGTCATAGTGATCTAAGCATATAATAATGATAATTCTGACTATCAAATATTCAGGGAACATGTAAATCAAAACTGGTAAAAAATATCTTAAAAAGAAATGATTGTCTTTGCAGTAATGTGTGCTTTCACATTAATTAATAATTAGAGCTTTCACACAGTTGCCCTTTTGGCCCCTTATCTTGATAAGAAAAATCTTAGCTCACAGGCTGCCTTCTGGCTCCTTATTTTAATGTGAAAAATTGCAGCTCTTCACATGGCCCCTTATCTTGATAAGAAAAATCTTAGCTCACAGGCTGCCTTCTGGCTCCTTAGTTTAATGTGAAAAATTGCAGCTCTTCACATGGCCTCTTATCTTGATAAGAAAAATCTTAGCTCACAGGCTGCCTTCTGGCTCCTTATTTTAATGTGAAAAATTGCAGCTCTTCACATGGCCTCTTATCTTGATAAGAAAAATCTTAGCTCACAGGCTGCCTTCTGGCTCCTTATTTTAATGTGAAAAATTGCAGCTCTTCACATGGCCCCTTATCTTGATAAGAAAAATCTTAGCTCACAGGCTGCCTTCTGGCTCCTTATTTTAATGTGAAAAATTGCAGCTCTTCACATGGCCTCTTATCTTGATTAGAAAAGTCACGGCTCTTTGCATATCTGCCTCCACAGTTGAACTGTATCTGAGGTTCTTGTTGATGTCATCTTAAAAGGTCTTACTTTAGCGTTTTAATGCCTCGAAATATCTTTGCAATTCAGTATTTCTTATTCTATTCCACATATGACTGGCATTACTTACTTGCTAAGGGACGACGTCAAAAGAATGATGTCGGATAAAAAACTGACCCCAAAAAGTTTCCATCCTTCAAAAACGATTATATTTTTTAATGAAGTCAAAAAAATCTTGGAGTATTTGTAGTTCGTTTTTTTCTATCCAATCATGAACAAAAATAACAGGAAATGAAAAACAAAACATCCAAGACGAGAAAATGGTAAAGTCTTTTTACACCCACTTGACAACCAACTGCTATGCCATACTACTGTCCGATTATCAATTTGTATTTAATGGTGAATGTAGTCTGACGCCATGATCAATATTTAACAATTAAGTTTCAGTGGGGGGGGGGGGGGAAACTAAAGGAATTAAGTTTTTTATCCTACATTGAACTTTTGATGTTGTCCCTAAAAGCCTTAGGTTTGGTCAACTTAGTTTTTTAAGTGTATCTTCTGTGAATTTCCTGGAAATACATAATCAAAGATGTCCATTCGCTATACATGGCCAATTTATTGTTTTCAGTAAAATTTCAAATTTGTGCAGTAGATTGTTAGAAAACTATGAAGACTTATTGTACAACTTTTTTTTTGCAGACTCATTGAAACAGTACATAGTATTACCATGGCAACCACTGTTCCTGAACAGTCTCCATCATTGGATAACCCCCCAGCTAAGAAAATAAAAATGGAAGTGACAAATGAGATAAATAGTAATGAATTACCAAACAAGCAGACAGAAGAAACTCCTAAAGTGGTTTCAAATGGTGACACGTCTCCAAAGGAAGGTATTGAATGTTTATATCACTTAATGTTAAAGGAAAGACATGAAAAATTTGTAAAATATTTAAAAGCACTCAAAATTTTGTGTAGGGTTTGCGCTAGTGTCTCGGCAAGACGAGTCCCACTTACAAAATTTTAAGAAATAGAAATTTTATCCTGGATAAATTGCCACCCTTTTTGAGATTCGTCTATCAATTGAAGGGCAGTCTATAAATAAACTATAAGCTTAATCTTGGATACAATAATATTATTTTATTGACATAACACTAACACAGAAAGTAGTATGGTCTCAAAAAACTAAAACTAAGACATACAAAATTCAACATGACTAAAATTTGTTTTTTGTCAAAACTGAAATTTGTATTTACTATTGCTGCGTTGTCAAAAAATAAACAAATTTTGCTGTTAATTTTTTTTGTTTGACATTACAAAGTGGGTCACATCTTCAATCTCCATAATAATACATATAGGTACTCTATTGAATAGATAGTAATTGTTTAGTCACACATCACAACACATATTCTAGTTGTCTAAAGAAAAACGTTTTCTATTTCAGTGGTAGAAAAGGCATCCTCTGTGGTTGATAAACCTGTTGAAGAAAAAAAAGTTGTTGAGAACAACATACCAAAAGAAAGTACAGCATCTCCTGAAACAGTTGCTATAGTGACAAACGGGGAAAGCAAAGAAGAAAATAAAACTGACATTGAACCTGTTGAGAAACTGGAAACAAAGGAAACTAAAGAAGATGGAGATGAGAAAAATAATGAAGCAAAGATGGATAATAATTTGGAGAAAAAAGATAATTTGGAGAAGATAGACAATTTAGAGAAAAAAGAAAATTTAGAAGAGGATAATTTAGAGAAAAAAGACAGCTTAGAGACAACAGATAGTTTAGAGAAAGATGGTGATGCTGAGAATAGCGAGGAGTCATTTGATCCAATTGCAATGATGGAATGGAAAGATGGAATTGCTACACTTCCTGGAAGCAACTTACAGGTATTGTAACCATTGTGTTCACACAGAAAAAATTAGTCAAGTACCCACCATTTATAATAAGGTAGAAGTGATTTGTATAATTTTAAAAATTTAATAAATATAGTATATAGCATTGTTAGTGTTGAAAGCTCAACATGTATCCACTCAACTGCACTGGTATCGGCAATATTAAAAAAAGTTTTCAGTAAGTCAGTATCAGTGTGTCAGTTCAAAATCAGCTGCTTTTAGATAAAATTTATTCTGGTATTATATTAAATAAAAATAAAAAACTTGTTTTTCAAAGAAGAATATTAAATTTGTATGTACCTCTGTTAACTTGTACCTAAGTACAAATTGTAATTAAGGTGTTAAACCACTAACTGACGGATTTTAAATGACAAATCTATCAATCGTGGTTAGTTCTCCTGTCATTAAAGGTTTGTTCCATTTCGCAGATTTAATAAGGAACAATATTAGGATTATAATTTCAAAGGTTGAACTTAATAGAGACATCAAAGCATACCAAATAAGATTGCTATGGTGCACTTTGATATTCCCTATGTGAATACTTGTATGACGAAGGTAATTTTTACAAATTTTGGTCTTGAAATTGGGGTCCTCTCAACTGTGAAATTCAAGCCCAGCAATTAATGGAAAACATGAAAGAAAGAAAAAATAAGAAACCTGCTGCGACTGTGATTTTGTGTCTTTAGGATGTTCAGTGACATTTTCACTAATACAAAATGTTTTTTATGGTACTTTCTGTGCCTCACAAAGGACTTTCTAAAAAAATCAGGTATTACCCAGAAGACCCCTGGTCTCTTCCGGTTGGTAGAGGGTATCCTCAGGATTTATGTTAATTGATTAAATCCAAATTTTAAACTAAATCAATATAACAAATCTACACAAGGATTTAGTGGTAAATTCCGTTCACTGAGATCCTGTGTTAAATGTGAAATTGAACATGACCAACAAGGATCATAGCATCATTGTGGCATCAAAACTTGCATGGGATTTGACAAACGCAAAAGTATGATGGTTATTTTTGATGAAAATGCCATATTCTCCATTTTGACAGCTATAGAAAATGAGAAATTGTAGTTCATTTTTCAATTTTTGCTCACGTAAAAAAAAAGATCTCGCTGGGAACGGAAAATCACCTATAAAGAATAAGATTGTGGTCACAGTTGTTATTTTCTCAGACGTAGGGGGTGCTGTGAAGAGGATGGTAATTTACAGTGCATGTGGAAATGTTTTAGTGTATATGCAGTAACACATTGACTATTTTTTTGCTGTATGTTTCATGTAACATACAGAGTGAAGTTTGTATATCTGTTCTATGACCACCTTTATGTGTATTTCTCTTCTAGTTCAAAATGAATGAGTTCGGTGTTTTGGAGATCGTCAGCACTGTTGAAACCGAGAATGGTGGTGAGTCTGTGATGACAGTTGGAGACAAGAGCAAAACATTACCGCCCACATCATCACCGCCGCCACCAACACCATCAGAAGACCCAACACCACAGTCACAGCTGCTGACCACTACTAGCCAACCAATGACAATCAGTATGCCAGCCACGCCCACATCTTCTACTACACATATTGTATCAACAACGCAGTCGAAAACTACTTTTATTATTAAATGCAAGTCATATTTATTTTACTTACTCCCAGAGATTTTTTAAACAAAGGAACAGGGGCGCAGCGCCCTCATGGCCATGCGCCACCTTACCCTGGGGAGCAGATCCTCTGGCAACCATCAAATCTGATTGACCAGGGATCACATGTGGCCACAGTCTTCAACTGTGACGTGTCTGATAGTTATTTTGGCCCTAAGGAAGCCATAGAATGCTCCATTTTAACTTAGAAACTCCACACCCTGGTAGGGAGAACCCTATCTCCCCTACTTGGTGGCACCGCTGAATTGCAGTGCTCCCTCTTGCAGATTTGTTTCTAGAAAAAAAACCTGTACTCCTGTCTGTATCATTGTTTTACAACACAACCTGTTGTATACAGTCAAACCTGTGTATAGCTTTCACCCTAGACTTGTTTGCACTCTGTTGTGATTCCGATGAAAAATTCTTGAAAAATAAATATAAATTCGTAAACAAGGGGTGAATGCGAAAATCATGTGACAGCGAAATCCCAACAGACTTGCCATCAGTATAAGCGCCCTCACATTACCGGCCAGATTCAGGCTTGTAAATTTGCATATTACAATGTCAAGACTGCACAAAATACAGATAATTTCTTGCGTTCTCGGTGAAACGATGGTTGTTTTACTCAATTTTGTTGGTGTCAACAACATGGTAAGATAGCGCGAGACAAGTAAACACAGGCACGTGCGATGATCCGTGGCTTGGCTGCTCCACCCACCGTATGATGTAT